GGTTGCGATCCTGTTGCCGGTCCCGGTACGGGCGCGACACTGAGGGTTGCGATCCGTTGCCGGACACGAAAAAAGACAAAAAAGGAAAAAAAAAAAAAAAAAAAGTGGGGTATAGGGCCGGCCCAGTGGCGCACTCGGTAGAGTGCGGTGCTTGGGAACGCGGCGGCACTCCCACCGAGGGTTCGGATCCCATATAGAGACCAGTCTGCTCACTGGTTGGGCGCGGTGTGGGTGCGACACCGAGGGTTGCGATCCTGTTGCCGGTCCCGGTACGGGCGCGACACCGAGGGTTGCGATCCCGTTACCGGTCACGAAAAAAGACAAAAAGGAAAAAAAAAAGTGGGGTATAGAAGTCCCCTACTGTAACTGTGTTGCTGTCTATTTCTGCTTTTACATCTGTTGATATTTGCTTTATATACTTAGGTGCTCTGATGTTGGGTACATTTATATTTAAATTATTATATCTTTTTTTTTTTTTTGGCAGCTGGCCAATACAGGGATTGAATCCTGGACCTTGGTGTCATCAGCACCACACTAGCCTGCTGAACTAACTAGCCAGGCTGCTCTTGATGAATTGACCCCTTTACCATTATATAATGACCATCTTTGTCTGTTTTTTACAGTTTTCGATTTAAAGTTTATCTAAGGATAGCTTCCCCTGCTTTTGGTTTCTATTTGCATGAAATATTGCTTTCTATCTCCAGTTTCAAACTGTGTACTTAATGGTGAATTGAGTCTCTTGAAGGTACCATGTAGTTGGGTCTTGTTTTTGCTGTTGTTTTCATTTTATTTTTTATCCATTCAGCTGCTCTATTGTCTTTTGATTAGAGAAGATATGCAATTTTATTTATTTATTTATTTTTTGAAAGATGACTGGTAAGGGGATCTTAACCCTTGACTTGGTGTTGTCAGCACCACACTCTACTGAGTGAGCCATGGGCTGGCCCTTATGCAATTTATATTCAAGGTAATTATTGATATTTGTTCATTGTTTTCTGTCTCTTTTATAGATACTTTGTTCCTTTTTTTCTCTTGCTGCTTTTCTGTAGTGGTATGCTTTGATTCCTTACTTTTTATTTCTTGTGCATCTATTATTGGTTTTTACTTTGTGGTTACCATGACACTTACATAAAACACCTTATAGTTATAACAGGATTATTTTCAGATGATTTTCACTGCATAAAAAAGCTATACTTTTACTCATCCCCCTTTTATCTTTTTGATGTTACAATCTATATCTTTTTATATTACTTATCCATTAAATTGTAGTTATCACTAATAGCTATCTTTTAGCCTTCATAGTAAAGATAAGTGATTTACATACCACTTTTACAGTATTAGAGTATTCTGAATTTGACTATGTACTTCATCAGTGAGTTTTATATTCATGTTTTCATGTTGCTAATTAGCATCCTTTTCTTTCAGCATGCAAAACTCCCTTTAAAATTTCTTATAAGGCAGGTTTAGTGGTGATGAACTTCCATAACTTTTGATTGTCTGGGAGTATTTTATTGCCCCTTCATTTTTAAAGTATTCCTTTTGTTGCATAAAATATTCTGATTGGCAGGGCTGTGTCTTTTTTTCCTTCAGCACTTTGAATATATCATCCCACTCTCTCCTGACCTGTATGGAAATCTGCTGATGGTTATATAGAAGTTCCCTTATATGTGTTATCCTTCCTTTCTCTGGTGGCTCTCAGGATTCTGATTTTTGAGTTTGATTATATGTCTTGCTTTAATCTTGTTCAGACTTAATCTGATATGAGACTTCTGATCTTTCTGTACTTGGATACTTCCTTCTCTAGATGTTTTCAGCTGTATTTCTTTAAATAATTTCTGTCCCTTTCTCTTTTTCTTCCTCTTCTTTAACTCCTATAATTAGAATATTTGCTCTCTTGATGCTCTCCCATAAATCCCATAGGCTTTTTCATTACTTTTTTCTTTTTCCTCCTCTGTATATTTTTAAATAACCAGTCTTGGTTCTTTCTACTGCTTAATCATTTCTGCTGTCAACACACTATATTGCATTTTTCATTTGATTCATTGCACTTTTTAGGTCCAGATTTTTTTTATTTTATTTTATCAACCTATTAAACTTCTTTTTGTATTTATTGTTTCCTGATTTTAGTCTTGGTTTGCTGAGCTTCCTTAGAATGGTTATTTTGAATTCTTTGTTATATATTTTGTAGATCATTTCTTTGGGGTCAGCTGCTGAGAAATTACTGTGTTCTTTTGGTGCTAACATCTCCTTGGTTTTTCATGTTTCTTGTTTCCTTATGTTGATGTCTGTACGTTTGGTGGAGCAGTCACCTCTTCCAGATTTTACAGGCTTGTTTCAGTGGGAAAAGACTTCCCCTGTGGGAGCATACAAGGGCAATGACTGAGTGGTGTGCAACAGTTCTGGTATCAGTGAGGGTACAGCAGTGTACTTTCATGCAGCTCTGTCAGCTGAGGTCAGTTTGGACATTGCAGGGATCCTCAGTGACCAACACTGTGTCTGCAGCAGAGGCAAGAGCTGTTGGGAGTCTTTGGTGGTGATGGTTCCCAGGGACTTCCTGATCTTTTTCTCACTGGGGAAGTTGTGTCTAAGGGGATCCTTCTGCGCACAGGGTTTGGCTTGTGGGCCCACTTGTGGTGGTGGTGGCACCAATGGTCGAGTGGCACCTTTGAAGTGGCCATGGAGCCGAGGCCTGTAGCATGGGCACATGTGGAGGGACTATATCTCTAAGGTTTAAGTTGTAATGACACTAGTTCCTCGGGTACAGGCAACCTTGCTGACAAGTTGATAATGGCATACAAGGCATAGCTGCTTGTGAAATAGCCAAGTACCTGGGGTTGAGAACACAGGTGTGTGCACAGTTACAGTGGCTCTGGGGATGGTGCAAGGCCCTGCTCTATGATGACTGAGCTGGTGTTTGGAGAGAGGTCATAGGCAAAGAGGTCACTTGGCTCTGGGGTGCAAACTAGCCTGCTATGGGAATGGATGTTTGTTGCCTCAGTTGCAAAAGATGTTCTGCAGAGCAGGCTGTGTGGCTAATTCCAACAGCCTCCACTTTTTTTCTTTTAGTATCTCAGGTATGCTGATCTCACTAACAATCTTTTTTTAAAAAAAGATGACTGGTAAGGGGATTGTAACCCTTGACTTGGTGTTGTCAGCACCATGCTCTTCCAAGTGAGCTAACTGGCCATCCCTATATAGGGATCCAAACCCATGCCCTTGGTGTTATCAGCACCACATTCTCCCAAGTGAGCCACGGGCTGGCCCTACTAACAATCTTTTCTATGTGGATATCCTTTTTATGTTCCATTGTGTTTCTGCAAATTCTTAAAATGAGCTCTTGAGCCCTCCCAAGGCTATTTTGGTATGTGCATAGCTGTCACATATTTGGGTTTTTCTGTAGGGGGATGAAGGCTAGTATCTCCTACTCCACCATTTTGATGATATCACTTGCCAACATTTCTGTGTACTCCTGATGTATGTATAACACTTTACTTTTTAAAAAACTGATTAGCTAAAACCTAAGAGGCCTTCACCCCCACTGCCCTGAACAGACATGATGTTCATTACATCCACTCTCAATCAGTGGACAAAAAGTAAGGTACACAGCCAAGCCTAAAGTTGGTGGGGAAGTAAACTCTGCCCAGAGTGAAGCCACAGCAAGATGAGGGTGGAAGAAAGAGTTGTGAACAAATACTACAAGAGGATACTTCTTTTTTTTTCTTGGAATTAGAAAATTGGCTTTATAAATAAGACTCTTTTTAAGCATGTGCTGTATGCCAGACACATACTTTATCTGTGTAATCTTCATGAGATAACCTTGTGGAATAAGTAATATTATGTCCATTTTATAGATGATATTGAGGATAAGAAGAGCAATTTACCCTGGGTCATATAGCTATTAAGTAGTAGAGCAAGCATTTAAATCCAAGCAATCTGATTCCAGAGCCTACCTATAGGAGGATACTTTTAATTATGTGAAGATTTCTTCCAGACAGCATCCTTTTAACAGCAAGAAATATTTGTCATTCAAGATACAGTTAAATTATATCTAGTTGTAAAAAAGAAAAAATGTTAGAAATACTGTACATTAATGCATTTATAGTTGATTTACCTAGGGAATGGTAGATTTTTATTTCCACCATGAGTGCACCTTTTTCAAAAGTTCTGCCTAGTGGAATAAAGCAGAAGCTTCAAATGAAAGTTCTTTGACTAGTGGTTCCTAGGCTCAGAATCAGATTGCTGGGCTTCCCCCATCCCCCCTCCCAAGTTTCTTTTTTTTTTTTTTTTTGTCTTCGCGATTGTTTAATGGG